ACGGCCCTCCTTCCCCGTGGAAGCCTTGGGCAGCTCTGGCCCAGGAGTTGGAGTTGGAGGCGGAGGAGGAGGAGGAGGAGGGATGAAGGGCAGGGCAGAGGGGGGCCTGGCCCCAGGTAAGCACGCCACCGCCCCTGCTGCTGCTGCTGCTGAGTCTGGGAGCTCTGCTAGTCCTGCTGCCCTGCTAGTCTGACTGACACCCCACCAACCCAGCCTGTGTCCAAAGCACCCCCAACCCCTCCCTGTACTGCTTCCTACCAACACCCTCCCCCACCCCCCCACCCACCCCACCCCTCCCAACCACACAGCTCACTGATAGACCCCCACAGTAAAGCCACAGTCTGGAGGTCAGAACTCAAAACAACCCGTATATCACAGTTTGACCAGTTATCACCCAAAAATTATAAATAGATTATTATTCCAGACTGTAACTGTCTCATCTTATAAGCAATGACAATGCTTTAAAATACTATCAATATATTGCAAAATATGTTTGTGATAACAATAGATATATGATTAAATACTACACTCAATACTGTGACTTGCTGATCTGATTACCACTGATTCTTTCACAGCAAAGCCAGCAGCGACTTTACGTTTGCTTACAGTCATACTGTTGTTGCTGTACATAGTCATGACATAAATATGTCAACGTGAACAATATGGTATGGCACACCCCAACAAATGATAGCAGTGACACAATGACCAGGCGTTTCAGGAAATTACTGAACCTTTTTAAAAATGAAATCAAATATTAATGATCTGTTTTTAAACGTTTACATCTTCAGTAGGAAATCATGGGCTTGGGGCTGACTGGAACAGACAGAGTTCTGAGGCTGAGACGGACTAATTAATTGGTGTTTGGTCTTTTCATTGTTAATTTCCAAATTAATAACACCACACTGATCCTTTAAGTGTAATTGTCATTCTACTAAAATATTACCACATAATCTAATAAAGATCTGACATTAGAAAACACCAGTAAAGAATAATTCGATGATCAGTTGTCCACATCTGATCCAACAACTGTCTGATTTAGAAACAAGTTGTTTCTAGTCACATGTAGTTTTACTGTAGCAGAATTTACATTGACTGCTCTTATACCTACATAGCTTTATTTCTTCCAGACTGTGGCTTTATGATTGTATAACCTCTGCTAACCTCAGCCTCATTCTGACTAATTTGCTGTCATTTAAACATTGGCGAAGTTGGACTGTGGTTGGCAAATGGGTGTTGACGTGGCTAACGGTGGGATGGTACAGCTTGTTTCCCTGCAGGCTAGCTGGCTAGTCTACATCTACTTCCTGCTTGGCCTTTGACCCTCCTGCTCCCACTCCCACCTCGCTCCCTGGGCTTGCCATGTGACATAAACGTTTGTCTGCAGCAGCGCCGCTCAGGTTCTGTCGTTTCTGTTTCTGTGTGTCGGAGTGATGTGGGGTGCCAGTGTACGTGTTTCAGTCTGTATTCATGTCTGAACTCATCCTACTTTGAGCTTCAAATAAAAGTAAATGGCTACAAGACACTGCAGGTGTGCAGTATAAATAAAGATTTTCCCCAGAGTCCAAGATGTACAGCTTACAGTGAACAGGCCATTATTATTCAATGAATAACTGCACTGGAGGTGGGATGCTTAGATGGATAACATTGGTTTTTTAAATGCACTTAAAAGAAAGTTTGTTTTGGGGGAATTTATGAACTTCTTTCTTCAAACAACAGTGTATCCATTCAGCCAGTGCTTCTGTGCAGTGTCATCGGCTACAGTGTTGGCTGTTGGACAGTCTACAGTCGATGAGTTTTGGGTTTGGTCTCTGTACAGGCAGGATGATGCCAAACCTGGCAACCTCACTGTGATAACAAGACTTCAGGAAACTGCACACAGGCATCACCCTGACTGCTGTTTGTCAAACTGGTGTTTTTTGCATTTCTGTTTGTGTACACATTAAACAAACAAGATACATGTTTATTTGTGAGCTTAAGATGTGTTGAAAGATGCATTTTTGAACGTTGTATAGAGCCAGGTTAAATGTTTCCCCCTGTGCCCTATACTGAATTTATCATGTGAAGTAAATTTCACTCTTCTTCCAGTGTTTTTCTCCGTATTGACTATTATTTGAGACTTGACCATCACTCAATTTCTGCTATTTATTTGAGAATTCACAATAGTTTAATCTAAGGAGGATAATGTGTCAGCAGTGTCTTGTTGGTCATGATGTGTCAGTCTGACAGTATTTGTGTTTGTCTGCAGGGAGCCTGGTCTCACAGTCGTACAAACAGCATGACATTGGAGGGATGGACTGATCACTGCTATGTACACTTGTGGAGGAGCACCAATAGGCTCAAACAAAGGGACACAAATCCTGATGTCATGTACAGACTGTGAGTGCGCAGCTTGTTTGGTGTACAGACTGTTTCCTCTCCCAACCAGAGCACAGCGTCACAGGGAACCCCCTCAGGCGGGATCACACACAGGAGCCGACAGAGAGCGTGAAGCAGCTGAGTCGTCACAGTAGATATCACATGTCCTCTGTTTCTGTAGGATTTGTCATGTATAGAACGCCTGTCTCCTGATAGTGTGTGTGCGTGTGTGTGTGTGTGTGTTGTTTTTCTCGTTGTTTTTATACATATTAAAACATTCTGATTTATAAATAATGAGCTGCTGTGTGGATTTCTCTTCAGGCCTGAACTAATCTTAAATCCGGACAGATGATGGCTTTCTGAGGCACAGGTCGAGTTTTGAAAGCTGAAAAAGTTTCTCATAATTATTTATCAGCTAATGTATTTTAAAAACGTAAACATAACACAACACAGGACAACATGACAGTGTGGCATCCGCATACTTTTTGACGTCTGCAATGAGGCAGCATATTTTGCAGGAATCTGTCTCTTGGTAGTCCACCACCTCTTATGATGAAACTGATTAATGCATAATGTTACAGTTTTTGAAGCTCTAGAAATTTTTCTCATCAAAGAATGATATGTAAGCAGACGGAGTAGTGTTTAACTCTCTGAACGGCACTGAAGCGCGTTCCTGTCAGGAAGACATATATGAAAAGTAAATAAAAATATTTTCTTTGAGATACTCAAAAAGATCATTTTAATTGTCAGATCTTTGTTTAAATGTATTAGTTACACAATTGTGACATTCAGTTGTGCAACTTTAGATCCTTAAACTGGAGCTCTGTAAAGAAACCCAAAAAACCTGCAATAATATCTCTGACCGAACCCACACGTATTATAATCCGAATTTGACCTTTTTTTTGTCAAGAATAACAAACTTACAAATATACATTTTAAAAATCACCTTTTTGTCCTGATGTGGAATCAGATAAGAACTGCAGCCTCATTTTCATAGAATATATTTTTCTTCACTGCTTGCTAAGGTAAAACTGTTAAAACTTTATCTAGGAAAGGTTTTTTAACTATTATATTTGTTGGTAAGCTGCTTCAGATACCTCAAATACAGAGAGGTCTCAAATCTGTAAGAATATTAGAGTGTACCTCTTTTTCTCAATAGTCTAAGAGAATTAGAGTGACATTTGTTAATTTATTATAGTCAAACAAATCAAGTGAAATTAAATTTATAACAAAAACATTTCATACTGTAAAACATTTCCAAACTTCTTAGTCAAATGAGTCACAGACCATAGTATGTTTGACCATCCAGTTTCTTAAGTGACAGTGACTCGCAGTTGAGGACTGAAACTGTACTTGTATGTAAAGTTCCAATAAAGGAGAGCTTGATATTTCCTGGTAGGGTTGGAGGAAATATTCAGATCCTTTTCTTATGTAAAAGAAATCACAGGTTTTGTATTTCATTTGTTATGTAAATAGTTACTTAAGCAGTTTAATAGATGTATCGGAAAGTAAAAAGTACAATATTTCCCTCTGGATTGTAGTGAAGTATATGGATGTTATATCATAAAATGGAAATGCTTAGGTTGTTCACAGGTAGTTTGAATAAGTTATAATATAATCATAACACTTTAGTTGTATTTTTCCATTCCCGCAGCTCAGTCTCATATACATGCAGGTGTTACTCATTAATCACATGAGCTACTAACCGTTTCCACTTCTGCTCGATCATCTCACGTCAATCATAAAGTTGTCAAAAATACATGGACCCACCCCCTGCCCCACCTGTCATCTGGTTCTACGTGCTCTGGCCAATCACAGCTGAGTAGGCGGGACATTAGGGCAGCTGTTCATCATCCTGTCAATGAGAGAGCGAATCAAACTAGACAGAGTTAACCAGAATAACTCTGAAAAGGCTTTGAAATAAAATCAGTAAAACAAAACAAAGCATTCGATATCTTCATATTTTCTTTAGTCTGTTTTATTTATTGTATACAATATAATTGTTGTATATAATTTGGTCTTTTAATTTTTTGCCTTTTTTTTTTTAACCTACCTCATTTGTTTTTGTGTGACACGTGAAGTAGCTGTTGTAACACAGCAATCTACCTTTGGGATTAATAAAGTACTCTTTCTCTACCGCAATCTATCTTTGTATTTTTGTATATAGGTACTAATTCCTTTTTGTAAATAAAACAATGACTTTATTCTCATATAACATTTTTTCTAAGATTACAGCATGTTCCTCAAAACTGATTTTATTCTCAAATTATATTACTTTTTCTCGTACAATTACCACATCCTGCACTAATATGGCAAGTTTTAACACTACATAATGCACTGTGAACGTTTAACCAGTGCAGACATGATAACATTCAAGCTATATGAAGGAACTAACCACAGCCTTTTGTTAATATAAAGAGCCAGGATCCTCTGGAATGCCTTTTTAAATAATATTTTCCGAAATATTATTTTTTTTCTTGTTAAATTGCGAATTTACTTGCTTGAACTAATTTCATCTGTAACACCTTTTTTACCTTTACAGTTTTAATGTACGCCCACTCGGAAGTAGTATTTTGGTAAGTGGTTTTGTCATCCGGGGCCGGGCAGCAGCGGTAGTCGGTACTGTAGTGCGTCTGATCAACTGCCAGTAGTACCAGTTGGAGTACTTGTCTGCTGCCGTGCCGTCGTGTGCCACTGTCTGGTCGTTAACAGGAGCTTGGCTTGTTGTCGTTGACGTGATGGAGCTGGACAAAATGGATGAAAACGACTGGAAGTATCACGGAGAAGGAAACAAGAGCCTGGTGGTCTCACACGTACAGGTGAGTCAGCTAGGCTAACACGAAGCTAATCCAAATTCAGGAGGACACAAGCCGTCCGACTCACACTTTTCTAACTCTAAATAAGCTTCATCTTGGCGCTGCTGCCCATGGAAACTTTGTAGTAAATGTCTGGGGAATTTGACTGAAGACTGAAATGTCAACTGCCATAGTTTTATTTACCGCCGTTACCATTAGCCTGTGTCCGCTACCTTAGCCAGCTTTGCTAGCCAGCTGCTAAGAGTTCTGATTAGTCAATCTAATGAAAAATATCGTTACACGGAAGAAACAATGTTAAATCCCCACTCAAGTGATTAGAAATTGCATGTATGTTTATGCCCAGGCAGAGTCACACACTGACTGTGTAGATTTAAGTCATAAAATCTAAATTCCTGAGGAGCTAATGGGGAGCTAATTTAGCCGTTAGCAGGTTTCCCATCCAGGCGATAGAGACACTGTACCGGGCTGCTCGTCAAGTCTTCTCCGAGTTTACTTCCATGTAGGTTAATCTGTGCTGGTAGACGCTGGGTTGTCAGGGTGGTGCCACCGTGCCTCCCAAATCCCCCCTCTCTGTGTGACAGTCTGTGGGAAAGTCTCATTCACATGATCGTTCTGATCGTGTTGTTATTGAGCAATCGGTGACTTAAGAGGGCATGGCATCACATCAGCAGTGTTGTAACCAGCAAGGAATGGATTTAACGATGTATTAGTCACATTTTGTTTTCTAGGACTGGGCGATAATTGAGTTGTGTGTTTCAGAGCCGCAAAGATTAATCAATTAGTCCACTGAAAGAAAGTAAATCGTCCATTATTTCCATGATTGGTTAATCGTTACAGTAATTTTTCAAACAAAGATGCCAAATATTTTGTGGTTGCAGCCTCTGAGAGAAGCTGAAACCAGATGTGATGAGTTGCTGCTTTTCTATGTCATACATGACAGTAAATTGTACTTTTTAAAATTTTGGATTGTTAGTTGGACAAAATAACATATCTTAAACACAGGCTTGGAGAAAATGTTTGTAAAACCTCTGACTGCAGCATCCATTCAAAAAAATGTGGATTTTTATAGTGACCAGGTTACAGCTGCAGCTACACTTTGCCTGATCTCATGCAAAACCTGATTTTCTGAGCAATCTGGTTCATGTGCACACATATGTATGTGTACCTGCCTTCAACTGACTCAAACACCTTTTTCTTTCTTTTTTTTTTTTTACAATGTAATTTAGGAGTTCATGTAAATCCTAAAATCAGGTAGTTTAAAGTGTTTTGGGGAAGATGAATAGAGTGATGTTAAAATCACATAGACATCTGGATTTGTGTTGGTACTAGTGACTTGGCAACTGAATACCCTTGCTTTGACTACACATCCTGTCTTGCTCTATGAATCTGATCCTCTCCATCACTGGTCCCTTCCATTTCTTGTGGTTGTGCACTACTTTCACACCTGACAAATTTACTGCATCTCATTGATAACATGAATTATTACTTTTATACTGCCTGTAATAATAAGGTGATGTCTGCACTGTTTCAAGTGCTCTCATTATTTTTCTCCTAGTGAACTCATCTTAAAGTTATTGCTGATTGGTGTGTAATGTAATTTTAGGAAACCTTTCTTAAGAAATTGGATGTGCTTGGATGCAAAGGAAACAGTATTCACCTGTATGAAAAACCATGAAATATCAGGGTGCCACTGCCCGACATACTCCTGCTGTAGGGAAAAAAACTGACGCTCTTTGGAGGAAAACCTTGAGGAAAAATTCTTCCTCTTTGGTTGTCTTGGCAGTGCATTTCCCAGTGCACTGTGCTGATTACGATACAGCGCCACCACCTCAGCGTATGCTGCAATTGCAGTTACAAATGACAGAAATCCAGTGAGTGAAGCGTTGTTAGTAAGTAGTGTTTTTCATGAAGAAATTTGTCGAGAGCTGGAGGTGACACAAAATTCTGCCTCTTAATTTTCTGTGTAGGAAAAACCTTTTGGTTTCATGTGGGCACAGATACTTGCTGCTAAAATCTCCTGATATCTGTTCTGTCAACACATTCTCAGGTATATGGATTTCTGACAGAAGAACTCACCCTAGTGCTGACAGAAGAGTTCATTGTAGTGTATTGTAACCATTATATTGTGTTTGTAAGTTCTTTTGACAGGGACACTTGTCCCAACTCAGTAGACCAATGTTTTCAGTCATTTTTCCATGATTTGCCTTAGACTTTGCAGAATTGATTTACTGTTCCCAATGCACAGTGGGAAAACTGTATCAGCAATTTCAATTTAGCTGAAGACTCTGCTGGAGACTTGTGGACTAACCCTGCTCAGTTGTTCAGTTGTGAGTCCTGTGTTTTAATGAGGCTCCCCTGATCTTTTCTGTTTTCTCCTTCCAGATTTCCAGAGTTCTCCGTCTGCTCAAGTATCCAGCAGAGGACTCTGAAAACCCACCACAGGTAAATATGAGTTTCTCTGTGTGTTTGAAGCTGAAACAAATTACTGCTCAGTAAGAACATCTTGATGCTGAACATGTGACACAGGAACGTTTACACCTCAGCTGCTTTCTCACATGCACTGCAACCCTGAACTTTTCTAGACATTACCTAAAGGAGCTGTATGTCCAAATCAGTTGAATCCAACATTAAACAGACTTTACCCTGCCAGTGTAAAGTCCATATAATGTCCGATTGAGCCGATGTGTGAATACTCATTGTCTGTAGAATTCAGTCAGTGAGTGGGCCTGTGGATGACATGTCTGTCATTTCTCCTGCATGCTTCACCCAGCTGCCACACCTCGCCTTAAATAACTATATCCAGTAGGTGAGACCACGTGTCACTTGGACAATCTCTACTTTTGTGTTACATGTGTGAAAGGGCAACTCTAGACAATGTCCAGACCTGATTTTCCAGACATTGTATGGAGTTCATATGTGAAACGACTTTTGAGTTAATGTTGGCTCGTTGATTACGACAGACACTGTACAGATTAGGGCGGATTTTCACTCACACTTATTTTAGAATTGGGTCCAATTACAACCAAATTAGCTGTCCTTGGCTGTTTTTTGATGTTCAGTTTTAAAGCAGTTGCATGAACAACTCTCAAATAATCTGTTGGGGTCTTTTTTCAATTATTGTTTTAAAAAAAAAAAATTTTTTTTTCTTTATTTGATAATTGTTGTAGAGATACAGACAGGAAGTGTGGGGATAGAGAGGGGTATGACATGCAACACAGATCCCCCAGCTGGGAGGTTAACTGTGGATGTTGTGGTTATGTGGTATGTGCCTTAACCATCAGTGCTACAGAGGTGTCCCAGTCTGTCGACAGTCTGACAGGTTAAACATTTTGGTCTGCAGTTTGAGCAGTTCAACAATTGGATTTCCCTCATGGCTACTGTCAGAAGACCTGTTACAGCAAGAGCGAGCCGTTAAATGACAAATCTTTAAACTTAAATTCTCAGCTGCAGCAAGTCCCTGATCACTGATACCTCATACCTGGGACTTAAAGCTAAAATTGTGTAACAGGTTAAAAAGCCCATAGGCTGCAGAGCATAGACGACATACACAACACAACAAATGATAACTGTGTCTTTGTCAAATCATCAAACAACACCCGCACATATACTTATTTATGAAGTCTCCAGCTATTTATTAAATAAAATAACAACACTTTATCAAATCAAATCAAACATTTGACTTCAAACAGTGTCATGGTTTTACACAGTGTTCCCAGTATGCACACGCAGGCGGTGGTGTTAAACTGGTTTTTACAGTTAGTCAGTCAGATGTCAACAAGCGATTGCTGTTGATGACTGAGTGAAAACAAGAACTGTCAATCATCCTGACAATGATTGTCAGGCTGTTCGATCCATGACTGAGAGGAGAAAACCGATAGTTACATGAACTGTAGGTGAGGTTTAACTTCTGGTTCATACCTGTCAGCAGGGCTGCAGTACAGACATTAATTTAGTGTGATGGCTCAGTGCAATAGTACAAGGCTCCATTTACTAAGAGCTCAATTCATTGTCAGTGGAACAGCAGTTGATCTTACATCCTGGTCAGATTATAAGCTTGAAGGCACAGTCCCCGATCCCAATGTTAACCAGTGTGTTGCCCCACCCATCCCTCAAATTCAAATTTACTGGCTGCTCATCTGCTGTTATCACTCTGAATTTGATTGAGGACTTTTAATACCAGGACTAACAGACAACAGCCAAATCAGAGTTATTAAGGTTTTCTGATGTAGTTGTGGGTTTATTTTTATATGTTTTTTTGTAGACACAGAAGGAAAACGTGTCAATATTTAGAATTAATCTATAATCCACACTCGCCCATTTCACAAAGCAGTATTAATCCCCTAACTTTGGAGGAAATCCTGTCTTCTTTTTAAAAAGATTGACTTAATTGCCCACTGAAGCTTTAGTGTTGTCCCTCACTCACCTATATAGCTTTGGATAAAAGTGCCAAATGTGTAAATGTAAATCACCTCTTTATTAGGGTCCCTTTGCTAATGCAGTCTAATACAACAGTCCTGTAATAACTCCTACATTCATGAAGGGTATAATGTTCTTTTTATTAAAACTTTTTGTTAAAAACAGTTTGTGCTGCTGTTGAACTGTGTTGCATTATACTGACAGGCGTTCTTTTGCTTCATACGCAGTTTATATCAATCACGTCACCATCATGTTCATGTGGAAAACCTAGAGCAAACCAATATGAACGGGGTTTGATACTATTTTATCCAGTTCAAATCCAGTATTGAATCCACGTGATCTTATTGAATCTTGTGAGGTTTGCTTTTCAGCATTTGCAAGTAACTAAAGACTATAATAACTTAAAGATGTCAACACTACAGTTTTTAGCAGCAGCCTAATTAATGTTCACAACCTGTAATGTGATCTGAAGAGCTGCGTCCATCTGTGAGGCACTTTGTACTGTGGGTTTAAAAAAGTACTCTATAGATAAAGATTATCTCTATGGCCATTCCTTTCACTATTTTTCACGCTCATTTTGTCGAAAGATGACGTCTTTATCCTTAATCCTGTCTCCAAAGCTCTGAGTGTTGGACTGTTTGTCACTATGGAAACGCCTGTCATGAGCACAACAGTTGTTGTTATAGTGAAGACAGATACTGAGATGACTTTGTGGTGTTCTGTGTCTTTGTGAGTGGGTAAATAACTCCACTGCTCTGTCAACATATGATATCAAGTCTCAGAGCAGGTTGTAACCTGCGTTTTACCTATGTGTTTACCTGCCTGCCTGCGTCTCTGTGTGTTTGTCCACCAGACAGCAGAGCAGGCCTTCAGGCAGATCCAGAACATTGTTGACTTCAGCTCTAATGTGATGAGCAGCCTGCTGGGAGAGAAGTTCATCCACAGTGGGGTAAGGCACTGTTTGCTGTCATTCAGTATGTTTATGTTTTTTTTCATCTTTTATTGCTCTTTTTTTTTTACCTTACAAAACATTAAAAGGGCGCTCCAGTGATTCAGCATTGTATAACGTTGTCGGACTCGTGATGGACAGTTTTACACAAGGCTCAAAATCGTCTCTTTTTAAAACCGCACATTTAAAAACAACATTTGCTATAATATTGAGTGTTTCTAAAAATGAAACAATATCTACAGATGATGAAAAGCAAAAACCACGGACACATGACAAAATAAAATACACAAGTTTGGTGGAGTCATGAAAAATCAAATATTCAGATTCTGATACCACCCTCTGTAGTTTCTATTCCAGAAATGACTCCTTTCCATTTGAATGGCAGAAACCATTTCAGTTAACAAGCAGGAAAAGATCACAACCTCATGAGTCTTTTTGCTGCCACCACTGCAGACTTTATTCAGCTTTTGTTCAGTCACTGATCAACATTTTTGGTGGACTAATTTTACCCCCACTGTTGAAATCGAGGGGTTGTCTTTAAGCATAGTGTGATCCAGTTGGAATATATAATCTATTCAGAGCTGGGTGAAAAAAAACAGTTTTCTGGCGTCACAAATTCCTAGAAACAGTGAGTTATATTGTTGAAGCCTGCAGGGTTTTAGCACATGAACAACATTCTCCAAGTCACATGGTGCCTAATTTTAATTTTAATTCTAAGCTGCAAGTTGGATTTAACATTTTAATTTTTCCTTCAAATGTTAGAGCAGGTTCCTAACAGGTGGTCTGGTGTTTGTACATGTGGACTGCACTTAAGACACAGTAATTAAATAATTTTAAATCAGTATTTGGTGCTTAATGATGACTGTGATTGTTAGTATCTGTACAATAAGAAAGATAACATTATATCAGGGTTTCATTGAAGCTGTTGGCTCAATGATGGTGGACATGTTCTCTTCACAAACCAACTGACTTCATCTTCTCCACAGGAAGTTGTCAAACTGCCGCTAGAGTTTGTACGACAGCTGTCAATCAAAGTTCAGCATCAAAGACCAGGTAAGAATGATTTTATTTATTTCTGTGGGTAGTATTTAATATTGAAATCTGAGAAATGATTAGTTTGACATTTTGGGAAATATGCATATTAGCTTTCCAGCCAAGAATCAGAGAAATGGATGGATGCCGCTCAACGTCTGTACGGTTAATATGAAGCTACAGCCAGCAGTTGGCTCAGCTTAGCTCAACAACAACAACGTCCCAAAGTGCTTCACACAAGTAAAATTATTAAAGATGACGTCATAAAAGTAGTAAAAAAAGAAAACAAACAATACAATATTGAACACAGAAAGACATTAAAAACACAAAATCACAAACACAAGGTGAGACAAAGGTCTGTTTGAACAAGTGAGTCTTCAGCCTTTTAAAGGCGTCAACAGAATGTTTGTCTAAAGGAAGAACCTTCAAACAATAGTCCAAAAAGACTCACCCAAAGATATTCAGGAAATGCAGCAAATTATCACATTCTTTCTCTCTGTGTTTGTGCGTGCGTGCGTGCGTGCGTGTGTGTGTGTGTGCGTGCGTGTCTGTCTGTGTGTCAGCATGGCGGTGTGATAAGGTGATGGACATCTACAGCGGCTGTGCTCTCTGTCTGCCCAACCTGACATGTCCAGCCCTTCACCAGCCAACACACACTCCTCCACTCTGCATCGAGATCAAGGTACACACACATACAAAGATTGTTTTTAAATGTAATAGTAGCACTGGCATTATTTCAAGGAATAATTATTCCTAGAACTGCACAAACAAAGTTAATTTATTAACATTATATCCAACATTAGTTTTAAAACTGATTTTCATTCCAGTTTCAGCTCAGTAATAAAACTCCATATCTTGCAAATTATGTTCTTCCTCCTGATAAGCAGCAACAGTTCCAGAAATGTTTGCCTGTGAATGTCATCACTGTCTCCCAGAAATACTGAGCTATAATGAGGAGTCACATGAGTGTGACTGTGTGTGTCTGTGTGTTACTCAGCTGCTGTTTTCTCTGTGGTGTGATTTCAGCCTAAATGTGGCTTCCTGCCGTCCTCCAAACATGTCAGCAAAGACATCAAGACCAAAGTGTGTCGTTTCTGCATGCACCAACACTACAAGGTAACTACAACCAACCACTGTAAAGGTTTGTGTGCTCTCTGCAAGCTGATGTTTGTACAAAGATTATTCCTGAAGAAGCTCCGCTCTGGAACATCACTGTACAACTACGTGTGGACCGAATGTTTTTGTAATTCCAACAAATCCAAGTGAGACGTCTTCCTTCTAGCTGATCGCCTCCTGTCAAAAACTTGAATAACCGAAGGACTACAGTACAGCCACATTAGGCTATAGCTGCAATACAGAACAATACTACTGTACAGCTACAGAACTACAAACTTTCTTCCGTCTCTCTTTGACATTTTGTCTTTCATTTGTTTGTATTCTCCCTCTCTCCCTCTCTCTCTAGGTGGCCAATGGAAAATGGAAGTCACGCAGTCTGTACTGTCCTTTAGACCTGTTCTCAGGGTGAGATTACTGCAACTGACGGTGACATTTAAAATGTTCTTTGACATGTTTCTAATATTTGTTAGTTATGGTCCAGTGCAGCTGGTGATGTAAACCTGCACATCTTGTAGTTGTTTGAGACAATATGGGAGTGAAACACCTTTAAGTATAATCCAGTCCAATATATATATAACACTGCAGACTCAACATTTTCTTCACTGTTACTCCACAGTGCAGATTCAGCTACTGATAATAAAGCTGCTGTACTGTTCTGCTGCTGAACATTATCTTCCCTGGTTTCTCTTGTGTTGCTCAGGAACAGACAGAGAATGCACTTTGCCATCAGACACCTGATAGAAGAACCTCAGAACAACTTCAAAATCTTCAAGGTGAGACACAACCACAGCCACACCTGTCCGTCTCAATCCTTCACTGTATAATGTGAAAGCTTTGTGCGTTGTGTGCTTGTGTCACAACATCCAGCCCCTTTAGCAACACAGTCGATCAATACAACTACAGGTTATACAAAGATTGGTTCACAATTTGTGCCTATATGACCACTATAACACAAACTTTGCTTGTGGCTTTAGTCTTTCAGCCACAGTTTGTATATAAAATATGCTTCTGTTTATAGTTGTATGTTTGGGAAATGCACTAAAATCCAAGAAAACGCCTGAAATCTGTGACGAGCTGACGTAGAAAAAAACCATTTGAAACCTTGTGTTCATAGCAGTCTGACACCTTTAGCTTTTGTCTGACAGGGGATTTACTTTTACATACGTTTACATCATCATATGAAACTTTGGCCACGTTTGATATGGACAGCCAACATTGTAACATTATATAAATGACAGAAAATAAAGAAAAGCATAATTAAAGTGTATTTAGTACTACCTCCGTCTCAGCTTGTCTTACCAAGTCTTACTCAGATGGCTGTCTGAGTTTCATAATTGCTTCAGATGAACTTAAAAACATATTTTCGCACAGATTATGGACTGTGAACTTTGTCCCCCATCTTTTACATTGAAAGCACATTAGGTAAGAAGCTCTAAGTAGTCAGTACGGACAGGAGGAATGATTACAGCAAGCAATACCTGTTTCAGGTGAAAGGCTCCTGGTAAAAGGTTTTGCCCAGGGCACCAAAACAGCTGAGTCCTCCCCTGCCTAGGTTTTTTTAACATGGATGTAAACTCCAACTTGACTGGTTGGTGGGATCATACAACCTTGAGGCGGTAGTCCTAGTTACTCAGAGTTGGTATTTGAAATGTGTGACTTTTCTCTGAACGATTGATGCTTCCGTCAAATCAAAAACAAATGAACACATGGAGCATCTCGGAGTGGAGAGATTAACAGAATGATATGAGCAGGAAGCATGAACTCAAGGCGCACCACTCTGCAGTGTTACAGTGTGCTGATGTAATTTTTATGACACGTTGAATAGGTATGAAGAGTATTTCTATTACTGCCTGGACTCAAAACACAGCTACAGATGGAGACTTTGACATAACAGTAAACCAGATTTCTCTGCACTTCATCTCTTTTTAGTTCTGGTTCAGCCTTTTCACTGTGAACCATATAATTCTGTTTTTCTGTGAGAGATTTTCTGAGAAATTCATCCTCAAATGTGTCAAAGCTATAGAAATTCAGAACCAAGTGTTTTGAAAATAAATAAATTCAACAGCATTAGACAATTATGATTATTTCACTTATCAGTCTGTGACCTGTCTGTGTGTTTTTAGGGTGGTCAGTGTATTTACAGCAGTAAAGAAGGCAGTGACGACTCGTTGGACCTGAACTCTCTGCTTCATCATCTCAGACCGTACTTCATGTACGGAAACAACAGAATCAACAGTCACATGACTGGCAAAGCTGTCCTGAACGACTTCATCCAGGTAAATCCACACAAACATCAACGGATATATACACAAGTGTCCTGATGAAAAATAAATATGTATTTGTGTGATGGTGTTGTAGAGCTGGCTAATAAACTAAGAACGTACCGATACCAACAGCAGGATTCACCAACGGATCAAATTCTGCTCATGTTGCAATTACAGGGCAGAGAGCATATTAACCTGGTTTTTTCTCTCTCTCTGTATCTCTCTCTCTCTCTCTCTCTCTCTCTCTCTCTGTAGGTCCTGGTGAACGCCCTGCTGAGTGGTGGTGGAGGAGGAGATGGAGGTCTGGTGACGGACAGACGAGGAGAAGGGCGGAGCTTCTGTGAAGCCAGTCTTTTCAACAAGGAGAGGATTCGCCACGGTCAGAACCTGCCTGTCTACCAATCTGTTTTCTTTCTGTGTCCAGCCAGGTCTTTTAATAGAGCTTTAAGCTCTGCTCAGCTGCAGCTGAAAGGATCTTAAAACTCTCTGACATCTTCAATTTACTAGTCAAGTCAGTTTTATTTATATAGCCCAATATCACAAATTGGCCTTAGTCTGTACATCCTATGACACACTCTGTCCTTAAGCCCTCGAATCCGTCAACGAAAAACTTGTAACTACGTTCATTTATTGTCCTTATTAAAGCTGCAGCGATTAATCCATTAGTTAATTGACAGAAAATTAATTGGCAACTATTTTGAAACTCAGTTGTTTCTCGTCATTTAAAAAAAAAAAAAAGAAAAAAGAAAAATCTCCAAATTCTGTGATTATTTGTTGTCAGCTGCGGCTTCAGGCATTCAGTTTTCCAGTTTCCTTGAGGGAATTTCTTCAAATTTTGGTAGAAACACTAACTCGGACTCAAGGATGATCTGATTAGGTTTTGATGGTCAAAGGTCAAAGGTCACTTTGACTTTCATATGCCAGTTATGACACAATTTAACACAAATGTCTAATAGGATAAAACTATGAATTGATGACATTTTATAGCCAAATGGTCAAAGGTAAACTTCACTGCGACATCATAATGCTCTGTAAAAACACTTGAGGCTGGTATTGAATCTTGTAGCTCAGGAAGTGGCAGTTGTGACCATATTTCCGGAAACTTGACTAGTTTGTCGACCATGACGACCATAAGGCAAGTAATTCTAGTTTTTCTGGTGTGAATTCTGAGTGTCTCTAGATCAGTCGAACAGATCTATCTGCAGCCTGTTTGTCTCTTTCCTCTCTGACAAAGGGTTTTCTTGTGCAGCAGCCTCCTTCAGAAAAGCTTGTGGTTTGAAAGAAGCACATGACTCTTTTCAGCACAAACATTTTGCTCACGACATAAGAATCTGATTATGTAAACATATGAAACTGAAAACCTGACCAAAAACATTTGTGCTTGTTTTTGAGACATTAAATACTCGTCTTGATTTTAAACAGTTCATTGTCCAGAATTCTGACCTGAAGCTGTTTGACAAGACCAGAAATGATGACCTCCCTCCTCTGAACACCTGTCTGTCTGTCTGTCTGTCCGTGTGTGTGTGTGTGTGTGCAGGCTCTCAGGGTTTACCCAGCGACACTGTTTTGTTCAGGATTCTTCAGACTCAGATGTTGGACACGTTGGACATTGAGGGACTTCATCCTTTGTACCGTCGAGTGGAGCAACACCTGCAGGACTTCCCCAAGGAGAGGTAGCACTCAGTTAACGCGCACCAGAAGAAAACTGTGTAGATTGATCTCGGTGATCATCTGGTCTCTGACCTCGCTTCCTGTCTGTGTCTGTGCCAGAACCCATCATCAGATAGACGGGCCGTACAACGAGGCCTTCATGGAGAAGCTGCAGAAATGTCCGACTGATGATGACGGCTCTGTGGAGTACGCCGTCGCCAAGGTTAGGCTGATTTAACATTTTCCCAATTATCCCAGTCGCACTGAGTCACACAGAGAGCCGGAAACTGTGTCTGGTCCAAGTTTCCTGCTGTTACATTTCTCCCACAGTGTCAGCTGACTGTCTGTTGGAACATTTTAACTCTGCTCAAATCATCAGTACAAACACTGACTGGTTTTCCATCCACCTGTTTTTATTTGCGCATTAAAAAAAAGTGGAAAGTTTTCTGGCTCGGCTGAGTTAGAATAGTTGATGTCTTGATAAATGAACAATGCAACACATTACAAAAGACATATTTTCCAAATAAATCATGATGCACATGAAGTGTTTGACTGAAGAGACGAGAACTGGCAGTAGGTGAAGTCAGATCTGTGTGGAGTGATGAGAGACTGTAACGTTCCTCACATTAATACATCAAACAGACAAATGGCATATTGCCATCATGCTTTCTACATTGTTTTTCACCGTTTGAGCTTTTGCTGGCGCTCCTTTTAATTTAGTCAACTTGTTGCGCCTTGAACACAAGCATGAAAATAAGGTACCCAAAATAAAAAGGTTACTGTTCTTCAATCCTTTTGATTACAGTCACAACACTGGTTTCCTTTGAGAGGAAACTCTTAAAGTCAGGATGAGTATAAGAGATACTGACAAACATGGTAGAAATGTTTTTTGCCTCACCTATTTTTATATTTTTTTTTGGCACAGAAAAGGGAATACAAGGCCTGTAGTAGTGCCTGTTGTTAATAAATAACTTTGGAGCCACAAGTCTGAACCCGCTCTGTCATCGGCTGATCCTAAAATAAAACTTTAATATTTCAAACAAAGTGTTATTTGCCCAGTACAGATGAAGACACACCTACAGCAGCACTACCAAGGCCAAAATGTCCGACACATGGGACGGGGTATTTTAAAGGGTTAATGTACCCAACTGGAAAATTAGCACCACCATCTGTTTATCTCCACAAACCAACTCCTAATGTAAGCAATAATGGCGGTGGATAGAAAATCACATTAGCATTTTGTTGTGCTGGAAACCCAGTTACTGAGCTGAGGAAAAAAAAAAATCTGCGTCACTGAAAATGAAACAAAGACTGTGTCCATAACAACTTTCTAAGAGAAGTAGAAGTATGTGGCCCAGAGAGGACAGCTGTAGCAAACATCCTGTCAGTTTTGGGCTCTGGTTCAGTTCGGTAGCTGTGGTGCAGCGACAACGAGTCCTGAATATTCTTGTAGTCTGATGTCGCAGCTCTGGTTGGAGTCTTCTCCCTAGTCGTGGCTGCAGAGGCTCATGGGAACTGAGAAACTGGTGGTCACAACAAAACACTATTGAGGTCATACAGGGAAGTCACCATCTAGTGTTTATTCATTTGTGAATCATTTATTAAATTAAACTCCTGCATGTTTTCACTTCAGGTTCATCAGTATCGTGTCGCCATGACAGCCAAGGACTGCTCCATCATGGTGGCCCTGGTGCCCAGCACTGAGGAAGAGGAGGATGATGAAGGGTAAGAGTTTATTCTTGATGTTGGTCACTCAGAAGGAAGAGTCTCATTAACTGCCACAAACTTAACATTGGATGAATTGGTGAGACTCTTCTTCACCCTCCTCCTCCTCCAGTCTCTCCAGTCAGAGGCGGCTCAGAGACTTCCTCTCCTCCAGACCTCCTGCTTTCTCCTACTCGGTCTCCATCCTGGATCTGGACCCGAAGCCGTTCGACAGCATCCCCCGCCAGCTGCGCCTGGACCAGAGGATCGTCTCCTGCTACTTGCGGACTGGTGGTGCCTTGCCAAAGGGGTCTCTGCCGCCGCTCCCGGGCATCTTCACAGCTGCAGAGAGAGAGGACTGCACACTGCTCTTCCACCCTGTGTGAAAGCCCAAGTAGAGCCGGGTGACCCTGAGGACGAGGACTAACTGACGCCATGCTGATGCCTCAAACAGAGAGGAGAGACGCCATGTTGATCCCAGAGGTCTAGAATCACTTCAAGAACAGAGCTGTTTATTCACTGCAGCACTTTCTCCTCCTCACTCAGCTCATGTTGACAGGTATTGCCCTCTGGTTCCTGCTACAGCTGCTGCTCAGCAAAAATAAAATCTCCAGGAAGTCGCCACTAAATCACCAGACGTTTAAACGACTTCCAGGTCATTTTTGTTACCCCTAGAGCTTTTGTGACGTCGCGGCGGCCCGACTTCTCGCTCCTGTCCGGAGGTGAATCCTACTATCACCTACCTGTTCTGTCACGACGCATATTCATTAGAGAGCTTAACTTGCAGGGAGCTTTGTTCTTTCCTTTGGTGACAAACAAGGGGATTAAAGGATCAGTTCCCCCTATGTATGTTGCAACAGGTTTGCTGTAATAATCTCACCTGGTCATTCTTGCCATTAAGAGATCCCTTCCTAATGCACTTTCAATGAGGGTGGGGGACAAACTCCACAGTCCTCCTTCTCGAGGCTTCAGCCGTCTGAGTTTACACAAATTAGGTTGGTAACTTTTTAAAGAAAATTCAGCTTTTCACACAGTAAAACAAAAATATTAACTTCCATTTCTAACATGTTTGTGCTTCAGTATCTCTTATACTCAGTGTGACTTTTTGGTTATAAAATTTAAAAAGCGTTTCCTTTACAAGGAGACGGGTGCTATAACTAGAGTCAAAGGGGTTGAAGGACATTAGTGTTTTATTTTGGGTAAATTATTTCCTGTAACCTTCCAGAGTTACAGTTCTTGGGTATAAATTTTCTTCAGTGAAGGGACAGTAACACAAAGTGGGAATTTCGAGTGAAACTTGGGAAAATATCTTTTTGATCCGTCTGGACTCAGACAGCTGAAGCCTGATATAAACTTGGAGTGTATTTTAACACAGAATGAGGACTGTGGATTTAGTCTCACATCATGACCATGTCTCTTAATGGACAGTATGATCAGGACGGATGATTCCAGCACAAAAAACAGTATCTACGGACACCTGAGTATTGTTATAAGACAGACTTGTTTCTTTCCTTTAACCTCCTGATGAGGACTGATGCGGTAGTCGTGGCAACAGTCTCTGACTCTTCTTGTTCTCGTTGGCAACGCTTCTGACAAAGAGAAAAAATAGAAGTGATGGACAGAAAAGGTTGTTGGGCTGTGATGTACGTATGATGTCATTTCCTGAATGTACTGGGGGTGGGGGTGGGGGTGGGGGTAGGGGTAGGTTGTCTATCCAGGTTGTCCACTGAAGCATCACTATGGTAACAGAAACACTGGTTATCAAGCCACCATAGTGGATCTGATCACCAGACTGTCTCAGCAGCTGGATGGAGAAGTTGAGATGGTTCTTGTACCCATAATTCTTTGCTTTCATTCGATGTCTGCGGCCAGAGGTTTTAAAGCAGGGGTTTTCAGTCCGACTCATTACACTGACCAACTCACAACTATTTAATTAACGAGACTAAGGCTGTAACGAGTAGTTGGTTGGCAGGAAATTAAGCGGCAACAATTTTGATGATGATCTACTAATTGTTTCAGTCATTTTTCTAGTAAGAATTTGTTGCTTTCAGCTTCTCAAATGTGAGAATTTTCAGCTTTTCCTCGTCACACGTGGCAGTTAATTGAATGTCTTTAGGTTCCTAACAGAAAACTGAAGACACCAATGGGGGCTTAGAAAAATTGTGTGTTGAAGGTCAATGGAGGAAAGTTTAGTGTCATTAAAGGGTCAGTTTAACCAAATACAAGTTTCTCTCTTTGACCTAGTGAAATCTCTCGTCAGATAGTTTTGGTTTCATTTAATGGAGATTGTTATATTAGCATTTAATTTTCAGCAGCAACATCTCTTTTCAGAGACAGTGTCTCTGTTAGCCTGGATGATCCACAACACAGTGGAAACAGCGTTGATTGGAACCATCTCTCTTGGGTAGGAAATAGTTTCCATGAACCAAATTCTGAAAAGAGAAGTTGCTGTTGAACTTTAAAAAAAAAAAAGCATTAGTTTTAATTAGATGTATATATTTTATTAACTAGAGTAAACTGACCCTTTAAGCTGGGACCTCTGACTGAGCAGCTCTCGTAGATTTCCTCAAGCTAAACAATTTGTGTCCCGCTGCCTTTTTCTGACAGAAATCCCACGTTTGTGTTGAAGAAATGATTTTAACTCTTTTTGTTGTCGGAACTAGATTCAATCTTTTCTGTTGGAGGTTGAAACGGTCGCATTTCAGTAGTTGTCTAAAATTCCCTCTTTCACTAACCTGGTGATTTGCAGCTTTGTAAAGGTACGGTTACATTACGCTTGGACCTAGAGAATATTTGCCCCATTCAGTTGAAGCCTAAAACCACAATTTGAAGTGCGAGTTTGCTGTGGACTCACGGGTCAGAGTTCAACCTCCGATCTATGAATTCACAGACAATAGAAACACTGATGCACAATGGAAAAGTCGTTATGGTAACGACCACCAGACTACAAAGTGCAACATCACCTTCCTTTAGAGTCTGATTACTCTGTATCTTATCATCATCTACACAGTGACAGTACGTCCCCTTTCTGACTTCAGGGTGATTTGACTGAACGGACTAATGTAACTGTTAAAGTGAAGCAGGAGTTAATTATAACAGGGGTCAAAAGAAATGACTAACGGAACAGGGACACACAGCATGCCCAGTCTGTTGTAGACCTGTGTGACTCACCATAGCAAGGGCTTCTGGGTAACAGAGCGTAGTCCTCTTCAGACAGGCTGAGCTTCTTGCTGCTGCTCCGCTGGTTTTCGTGCCATAAGAGGCTTGTTGTGTGTTTGTTGTGTTTGTCTTGGTGCCTAAATGTTCTGGTAGGACTGGATGATGGGGTGGTGTGTGTGCATGTGTGTGTGCATGTGTGTGTGTGTGTGTGTGTGTGTGTGTGCGTGTAGAAAACTCACTTTGTTACAGGTTGCATTCACAGCTGAGATCTGAGACAAAATCTGAGCTGCTGTGGACGCAGCCGTGAACGCTCAGTACCTCGAACGCCTAATGATCCGAACCGAAGCTCTACATACTCAGGGGCGCTGCGAGGTTTCTGAGGACCGTGACGTCAGCTGGAGTTCAGACTTGTCCCCAGTTTGGTGACTACAGCTGTTGGTCTCCATCAGCAGAATTATGACTGGAGTCTTTTCAGGTCCAGATTAAGTCTTTTGTCATCAAGGACAAACTTTGTGACCTCATCGTCCTCTTACACCAGCAGCGTCACTGAAGCTTCAGATAAACTGGTAACACTTGACTTCAGTTCCACTGTTTACAGTGTTCACTCTCCAGCCTCCACAACCTCATCAGCCAATCAAACGTCTGAAAACAAATCACACTACAAGACTAAAAACCTCAGACGACAGAAAATCCTGAACACTCCACTTTGCTCCCAGCGTCGGGCGTGTTTTCTGGAAACTTGTCAGCTGATGATGAACAACTGCAGCAGGTCAACATCACTGTGACATCAGCAGGGTGACATGGTCAGTGGTTCTGTTAAATCTAAACACTAAAGGTTTAAATCCAGAGATCAATCGGAAGACCAACACCATCAAACACAGTTTGACCTTTAACCAATCCCTTTCTAACTGACGTCTAGCTGCCTGTTTGTGTGGGGGATGGGCGAGTGAAAGGCTGGAGAGTGAACAGCAGTGAACTGAACCAACCACTGATCGTTCTAACTGTTGAAATGAAGACGCGACAGGCAGCATGGCGAGGCAGAAGAGGCTCATGGGAGTTAGAGGGAGGAGGGTCTCCAGTTGTAGCGTTGTCTCTGAGTGAGACAGCCGAGGTTTGGACACAAGTCAACATGACGTGTCTCAGCTGTAAAATTAGATCCTGATTTAGTTTTTTTTTTTTTTAAATCTCAGTGTGATCTGCATGTTGTCTCACATATTCTCATGACATTCAGATCACAGAGTTGAAGCTGCGTTCATGTCATGGGGGATGTATAGATGGTAGAAATGGACAAATTGCTTCTTTTTTTTTTTTACTTTCTGAGAGGGTTCACTGTGCATTAACAATTTAACACTAAAACCATTCAAGCAGCGTTTATTTATCTTTAACAGCAGGACTTTGGCCTCTGTTAGATTTTTTTTTTGGTATTATTTTGTTGCGTGTCAGAGTTAGTAGGTTGGTAAACTGTATTTACAATCAAAAATAGGTGCTAGGTAATGATGTTCATTATCAATCTCACTTTCATTCTATACGACAACGTTTCAACCACAAACTTTCTTTCCTCAGGTTGAAACATTTTCACGTCTGTGTGGTTCAAAATAAAAATGACACACAAGACAGTACGGCTGCAACTAACAATTATTTTCATTATTGATTAAGCCTTTTGTCTATATAGTCTCACAAAAGTAGGTGATTGCTTGTTGTATTTGATCAACAGAACAAAAATGTAAAAAAGATAATCAGTTTTCTTTATGTGCGACAAAGATCCAGATGTGTGAGAAGCTTTTTAAGGATTTTTGCTAGCAAAATGTTGAATTGATTATCAAAATAGTTAATTTTCTGTTGATCGACTAATTGATTAATTGTTGCAGCTCTTCAAGATAGCACTGTCTAGGGAGGGATGTTTTTTTAATACAGTAACTCCCACATGACATGAACGTGTTTGACGCATCTGTTTTTCTTAGAGATGAATCATTGACAATCTGAAAAACCCAGAAGGTTGTTAAGCAACATGTCACTAACAGTTCTGAAAGTATTAACAACAATCTGGATGAAAAATATTCTGTCGACAGCCGGATAAAAGATTTTTGACCTGTTTCATGATCCAGACAAACATGAAAATATAAATTTTGACTAAATAAACATCCTTTTTTCTAATTTTGTTTAGCTTGATATCTCAGTCTGGATCTTGGAAACTGAATTTGACAAAATCTCAACTCAACGCCCACTTTCTGAGAGCAAAGCCTGTAACTGGATCTTTGGTTGAGATTCTTTTATCAGCTCTTCTTCCCTAGGTCAAGGATTTCCATGACAAGAGAGTAAACAAAGTCTGATTATGACTGTGTATCATTATTGTGTGTAAAGCACCAGAACAACAGAGTAAGTGAACCTTGAGTTGAGTTTCTAATTTTGGTTCACATTGCATTCACTAGGATATGGGTAATTTCTAGGAAAGAAAGAACTTTGTCCAGACCTCTGTCCTCACAGAAAGATGAAGGTGCGACAGGTGAGCTGGAGTCTGATTGGCCGGTTTGCCTCCGCCTGCTGCCTGAGCGTTGACCTGCAGAAACATCACAGCACTGTGATACCATGGACTCCTAATAACTGCGTGTGTGTAAATAGCTGAGAGAAGAAACTATTTGAAAATACAAAGGCGACACTGCTGTCTAGCATTTTGTATTTAAATTATTTATTTTTGTAGATTTTGACCAATGAGCTCTGCTGTAACAGCCGTCACAGCCGTGCTCTTTCTATTGAATAAAGATTTCTAAGAGACTAAACCATTGCTCTGTGTTTACTCGTCTGTGTGTTTACTTTATTTGCACGTCTAAAGTAAAAAATTATGCAAATATTCAGAAGATATCAAAAACAAAGCCCTTATGTGCTGCTAATCCATTAACTTCGTATAACTCGTAAACGTTAGTTATGCTTCCTTTGAGAGGCTGACCGCCCTGATCACAGACTCGATGGCAGCTTCAGGTCCCAGAATCCTCAGCAGGCTGTGAAAGGCCTCAGCAGCACCACCTACAGCCTGAGAGGGGAACAACTGCAGTGCTGCAGAGAGACAGAGGAACAAAGTGCAGATCATCACTTCACCTGCATCATTATTCTGCTAGACAGTCAAACTCTCTGTAGGCTGTTGATACAGTTCAACCTCTGATGTTTTTACATTAAATGTATATTTTGGTAACATTACTGTCACAGAACTAAGAATTAATGAACTCATTTGTGACTAATTAGAGGGAAAATAGAGGTGGTGGTCAGCTTGTACATTTAACACTGAAATAATTACTCAATAATTTTATTAGTCCATCCACAGAAAGTAAACTATTTTGATGATAGATTGGCTTCTGGACTAATGATTAAATAAACACGCTGAATTGATCACCTTGGGCTGTAAGTATAGGTCTCATTTTTCACTTATTTTCAAATAGAGAAAATAATCATAAATTGCAGGTAAACTTAACAAGCAAACAATAAAAAACATTGAAATTCTGGTATAGTGAGTCAAAAGAATGCTATACTATAGTTAGGCATAAAATGTCAAAAAAGTCAGTATAGTAAGGCATAAAATGTAAAAAAAAAAAAAAAAAGAAAAAAAATTATTGTATAGTAAGGCATAGAATGTAAAAAAAACCCAAAAAATTATTGTATAGTAAGACATAAAATGTCAAAAAAAAAAAAAAGTCATAGTATAGTAAGGCATAAAATGTAAAAAAAAGAAAAAATTATTGTATAGTAAGGCATAACATGTCAAAAAAAGTCATAGTATAGTAAGGCATAAAATGTCATAGTATGGAATGTCAATGTCAAAAAAAAAAAAAGAAAAAAAAGTCATAGTATAGTAAGGCATAAAATGTCAAAAAAAAAAAAAGTCATAGTAAAGTAAGGCATAAAATGTCAAAAAAAGAAAAAAGAAAAAAAAAGTCATGGTATGGTAAGGCATAAAATGTCAAAAAAAAAAAAAGTCATAGTATAGTAAGGCATAAAAAGTAAAAAAAAAGTCATAGTATAGTAAGGCATAAAATTTCAAAAAAAGTCATAGTAAGGCATAAAATGTCATAGTATAGTAAGGCATAAAATGTCAAAAAAAAAAACAAAAAAACATTATAGTATAGTAAGGCATAAAATGTCAAAAAAAAAGTCATAGTATAGTAAGACACAAAATGTCATAATATAGTAAGGCATAAAATGTCAAAAAAGTCATAGTATAGTAAGGCGTAAAATGTCCAAAGAAAAAAAAAAGTCATAGTAAGGTATACGATGTCAAAAAAGTCATACTAAGGCATAAAATGTCCAAAAAACATAGTACAGTAAGGCAAAAAGTATCATAAAAAAGTCATAGTATAGTAAGGCATAAAATGTCAAAAAAAAAAAGTCATAGTATAGGAAGGCATAAAATGTCAAAAAAAAAAAGTCATAGTATAGGAAGGCATAAAATGTCAAAAAAAAAAAGTCATAGTATAGGAAGGCATAAAATGTCAAAAAAAAAAAGTCATAGTATAGGAAGGCATAAAATGTCAAAAAAAAAAAGTCATAGTATAGGAAGGCATAAAATGTCAAAAAAAAAAAGTCATAGTATAGGAAGGCATAAAATGTCAAAAAAAAAAAGTCATAGTATAGGAAGGCATAAAATGTCAAAAAAAAAAAGTCATAGTATAGGAAGGCATAAAATGTCAAAAAAAAAAAGTCATAGTATAGGAAGGCATAAAATGTCAAAAAAAAAAAGTCATAGTATAGGAAGGCATAAAATGTCAAAAAAAAAAAGTCATAGTATAGGAAGGCATAAAATGTCAAAAAAAAAAAGTCATAGTATAGGAAGGCATAAAATGTCAAAAAAAACAAACAAAAACAAATTATAGTATAGTAAGGCATAAAATGTCAAAAAAAAAGAAAAGAAAAAAAAAGTCATGGTATGGTAAGGCATAGTATAGTAAGGCATAAAATGTCAAAAAAAACAAACAAAAACAAATTATAGTATAGTAAGGCATAAAATGTCAAAAAAAAAAAAAGTCATAGTAAAGTAAGGCATAAAATGTCAAAAATAGAAAAAAGAAAAAAAAGTCATGGTATGGTAAGGCATAAAATGTCAAAAAAAGTCATAGTATAGTAAGGCATAAAATGTCAAAAAAAAAAAAGAAAAAAAAAGTCATAGTATAGTAAGGCATAAAATTTCCAAAAAAAAAAAAAAAGTCATAGTATAGCAAGGCATAAAATGTCAAAAAAAAGAGAAAAAAGTCATAGTATAGTAAGGCATAAAAAGTCATAGTATAGTAAGGCATAAAATGTCAAAAAAAAAAAAAGTCATAGTAAAGTAAGGCATAAAATGTCAAAAAAAGTCATAGTAAGGCATAAAATGTCCCAAAAAAAAAAAAAAGTCATAGTATAGCAAGGCATAAAATGTCAAAAAAAAGAGAAAAAAGTCATAGTATAGTAAGGCATAAAAAGTCATAGTATAGTAAGGCATAAAATGTCAAAAAAAAAAAAAGTCATAGTAAAGTAAGGCATAAAATGTCAAAAAAAGTCATAGTAAGGCATAAAATGTCA